GATGGAGGTGAGATGTTGTTTGACTTATCATAAACATGTCCTCATGAGATGGAACTCCCATTGGAGACTCCGAGACAAAGTGAAAATGGGCAAATAAAAGAGACTTGATAAGAGTGTGTGCGAGTTCATCCTCAAATGCGCTATTGGAGACCACAAATGACCAATTGAGATGCAATTCCTGACAAAATGATGGCCAATGATGTGTTTTATGTAGGAATGAAACATTGGATTGACACATAGTTATGCATCGCCAATACTGTCACAAAGAATGATAGGTTGCTAAGGTAGCTGAACACATTGCGAACCCTAAATACTTCAGTAGAGCAAGAAGCCAATGCTCAATATTCAGCCTCCATAAACTAGTGTCTCACCATTTTTTTGACTTTTTAGAAGATCGATATATTGATTTTCAATCGAGTTAAGCAATTTAAACAGAGATGGATGTGCAGACAATGATTGCCTGTCCAACCTGAATCAGTGAGAGTAGAGAGATTGACACCATCGTGTTTATTTACATAGTATCCATGGTGAATTGTATGTTTTGACATAAGGAAGCATGAGAGTCATTACCAGTAATGAGAAGGTCATCAACATAGATAAGGAAAATAGAGTTTGACATCAAATTTAAAAATATAGGAAGAGAAAGAACCACAAGTAGAGTAGACAAAACTATAAGAGAAAATGAAGTTTTTAAATTTGGTATATTAGGTACGAAGTGCCTATTTTGGGCCATAACGAGCTTTCTTTAGGTGATAGATGCGTGTAGGATGTTGTTCGTTAACAAAGTTTGATTGTTGACTCATATAGTTGTCATCGAATAGAGTACCATCAAGAAAAGTTTGGTTGATATCAAGTTGTTGGATAGAAATGGCAAAATAACCCGTCCCAAATGGGGCCCAAAAAATCCATCCCTACAGGTTGTTGGGGCCACCTCGTGAAGAAGTAAAAAAAAAAAAAAATTGTTAGTTTGAGAATTATTTGCTTTGGATTTTAAAATTTTGAATTTGTATTGTATTCTCTAATAATAGCATAACTTGAAATTTTGAAAATATAAATTTAGGGGTTGTTTGAGCCCCATTTTTCTCAAAAAAAATACATTTTGGATAGTGTTATGATGGAAAATATGTGGTTAAAAAAAGGAGAAGTTTTGAGTTTGCGTATAATATTATTTTATTGAAAAGTGTGATTGAAATGATATCAAATAGTTATTGAAAAATATATTTTGATAAGAAAATGGGACTCAAATAGGCGCAGGGCACCCCACTGCCATCTCTATAATGTTGGATTGACCAGTCAGATTGAGAGCTAGCTGAGGATAATTCAAATGGTGGAGGGGTATTACAACATAAAGTTAGATTGGCACTCAATCAACTTTTAAAGGAAATTATAATTGACAGGGCTAAAACTAACACTTCCATGGCAATCACAATCCCTTGTATTGATTGGAGTTACTTTCAAATTATCTTTAAATTGTAATCATTTATTATTTTAACATGAGTAATATATAAATTTGAATAATTTAGTTTAACATTATTTAGAGCAGGAAGTCCATCTCCATTTATAGTTTATGTTCTTACTATGGCCATTAACTAACTACAAACTAAAAATAAAATATGAAGTAAAAAATATCAGTAATGAGGAAACAAATACATTGTATTAGGAAGAGGATTTGGTATCTAATTGGCAATCTTGTTTGTATTTATAATGCTTCAATGGATTATTCACAATTTGAAATTCGAAGTAACACGACGATAATTGAAAAATGAAAAATTAATCTGGCTTGATACTACAAAATAAAAAATTAAACCAAGTAAATAGGGAACTGGCTGACTCTACGACTTGATTTTTGAATTTGTTAACTAGCTATTCAACCTTAACAATCACTCATAATAGGCCGTTATAATTATTTGTGACATTGTATATCCTATATATTCTATACAAATTTTTGTTTATACATTGTGAAAAACTAATTTCTTTTTCGTGTTAACGTTCAGGACAAATTTAATATATCGGCCAGAACTATAATTCACACGTCTTCCAATTAGATTAGAAATTGACTACATCATTTGACATGCCCAAGAAGCACTCTATTTATAACGTACTACTTACAAGTGAACGCGGTTTGATTTGGGCAGTTTGTGCAGTATTTTTAATTCAAACCATTTCATGTGGTTTGAAATTTTTCCAAATCAAACCATAATTTGCGGTTTGGTTCGATTTTAATTCACGATTTACCTATCAATATTATAGTAATATATTTAAAACAAGTTAACCCATAAATTTAAACGAGAACTAATAATGTTAAATGTTAAATTACATTTATATTTACCATGAAACACATGAATAAATTATTTTCAAAATTGATTGTTAAAAGATGTTAATAAAACAAATATATCTTTCTTCATTTCTATTTATCTTCTCTTGTTTGACTTTCATATTGTTACATAACGATTAGTAAAGGTAGAGTCACACGTAAATCCATAATTTTTTCATCATTTTTAACCATATTTACCATGAAACACATGAATAAATTATTTTCAAAGTTGATTGTTAAAAGATGTTAATAGAACAAATATATTTTTCTTCATTTATATTTATCGTCTCTTGTCTGACTTTCATATTGTCGCATAGCGATTAGTAAAGGTAGAGTCACACGTAAATCCATAATTTTTTCATCATTTTTAACTATACATTCTTCAAAAACTATTATTCAGATCTATGTTTTTAAAATTTACCAAACAGGAGCTTAGAGCATCTCGATTGCAATCTATGGATTGCAACTAAGTGGAGTTCAAATAGATGAACTTTTAGGTTATATGCTTTGCTATTTAATGAATGGATGATTAAATTCAAAATTCATCTCCAATAAATTCTATCCACAACATAAATTTTTGCCTACACATCATTTGTCAACATTAAAGATAGATAAAAGGAAAAGGAAAAAGAAAAGAAAAAAATCTTATAAATTAAAACCAGAGACAAAATCTTTAGTTCTCTCTCTTGGATTTTTCTCTTTCCTTCAATTGATTAAATTAATTGCTCAGTAAGCAGTTTATTTTATATTAGACAGAACTTTGGACAATGTTCGTTTTATTTTTTGCCACGACAGCTTGGTAGAGCTCCAATCACATTGCAATGGAAATTATTATTTTTTAAATATTATTTAATCTTACTTATGCAAATTTTTTTTAAACAATTCAAGTTATCATTGAAGATGTTCTTAGTATTATATTTAGTAAGGTATTATTCCAATAGAAAAATGGGTGGGGGGCTCTTATTTCTCTACTAGATATTGCTTCTTCTATGGGATTTGTCTCCCTAATTAGCCCTTGTTTGGGCTTCATAATTTGAAATAATATTAATTTTTTACATTTTTTTTAAGAATTATATGTAATATTATTTTATTAAAGAATGTATGATTGATAATAAGAAAAGAGAAAAATTAATTTAATGACGACCAAGCAGGGATTTATTAGGTTTTTGGCCAGAATTAAAATTAAAATTTTTTAATATATTTTGATAGAAATTTTTGAAATGTGTGATCGAAAAGTTGTGAGATTCATAAAAATGTTATTAATATTATTTTTTGACTTTAATTAGATTAAAATCAGATTTCAATTCAAATTAAATATGTTCTGAATCAATACTTTCAAGTTTTAACAATTAATTAAAGAAATTTATTAATATTTTATATTGGCCGGGTATTATCCCACCGCCCGAGTCGCACGGAAGCAGGAAGCAACTGTGTGCATTGTAACAAACTAAAGTAACCATGGTTAAAGTGCGCCAACCCTGATTATTAGGGTGTGCGCATTGTGCCCCATCCTATTCTGCCCGTAAATGGCACGACAGGCCCACTTGCCCATAAAAACAAACAACTTTCCACTTAACGGCCAAGACAAACGCCGTTATTTGCTAACCCAATCTCAACTGGACACCAATTAACGTCGTTAAGTGGACCTCATTCATTCTGTTTCCCCTGACACGGAATCGCACAAACGGTTATTCCTGGTCTAAAAAGCAGGGACGTGTTTGGTTAATATTATGTCATTTTTTCTACTAAAAAATAGATAATTTTGAAAATCTGTCTTACAAGATTAAGCCGCTGTTATTCAATACTTCCTTTAATTTTTTACCACATATTCTTCGAAAAAATTACCCATACAAAATCTATTTATCAAAAAAATAGGCTCAATAAACCCTACAACTCTATGTATACGCACATGTTCAATACATATGCTACTAATATGGTTGTAAAATCGGAAAAAAGTAAATTTTAGCTTGAGTTTATTCTGATAGATAATAAGTTTCGCGGCAATGAAAATGAATTAAATTTTTTTTATATATAATTATAAAATACTATTATTTTCTCTTAAATTTTAAAAGAGCTTTGCTTTATTTACAAATAATTGAAAATCTTGTTATTTATTTGTCGACCACCCAAGAGCATTTAGCCTTGTAAAATGGTCCTTATTTAATCCGTCAGAATAGGATCTGACACTACTTTGTTGTCGATCACTTAGGAGCATTGAGCCTTGTGGTTCCTTGAAAAAAATATATCGCATACCTCTTTGACACAATTCAAATTCAATCACCACACATATATATTCAATTTAATTGTTTTGTAATTGTAAAACACTGAAACTACTATAAGATTATTATATCCATTTTTTTTATCTTTTGTCTAAAGACGAAGGAAAATTTTCATTCAGTTCAATATTTTTGTGTAGAGAGCTATATTCATATTATCTGAAAATGTTGGTTAGTCGATATCTAATTTTATTTTCTTTGAACTTTTCCTTTGAATCTTACTACTTGCTCCAAATCTTACAAAGAAAAGACATACTTGATACTTACATAACGTGTTGGATACATTGGGGTGTGGAGACGGCTTGAAGCGATACTATACAGTTAAGTCATCTCGGAGTATTTTTTATTTTTCAACCTCCCAAACATGGCTTGGAATTGGACCGGTTATAGCCAGTAAATTGACCGCAGTTCAAATGAACATTACTGATCTTGCACCCTATTCTGATCCCTCAGCTGGTCGAAAAGCCTACAATCTCTCTCCTCCTCCTCTCTCATCAGCTAAAGCTATTAGCCTACAATACTAACCCCAAGCTTCAAGATATACTCGTACTATTTTAGAACAACACATAAAAATCTCGCGGAATTTTGTGCCGATTCATATAAGATATTCTTTTCTACAAAATATATAGTTTAGAGGGCTGATGTATTAATTTTTCTGGTTTTTGAGGTTGTTTTTATGGTGTTAAGTGTGGGATTTTCGGGATTTTATGTTGATTGCTTGTGGGGTTTGGAGATGTGAGATCTGGTCTGAAAAAAGCGTGTAAAGAAATGGCTGCTTCTGAGGTTTCGAATATAGGTTACACGGAGCCTGTGATGGCGGAAAATGGAATTTCAGGTATCGGGAATGGTAAAAATTCCGGTGATTATTTGGAATTTTTCGAATTTTTTTCTGGCTTCTGATTTTTGGGTTTATTTTGTTAGTGGATGTTGATATGGCGCTGTATACGGAGCTATGGAAGGCATGTGCTGGTCCTTTAGTTACCGTACCTCGTGCAAATGAGCTTGTTTTCTATTTCCCTCAGGGTCACATAGAACAGGTTTTTCTTTTTTACTTTTCTATTTCTTCAAACTTCTATATTTTTATTTTGATTTTTGATCTTTCTGCATATATGTGAATTTTTATTATTTTTATATTTTTAAAACTCAGATTCAGCATAGTTAATCACAGTCCTCTTAATTTCATTTTCAAGTTTGGTTTTTGCTCATAAACATGACCAGTGAAACTTAATTTTGTGTTCAAATATTTAAAGAATGAGATCTAATTGCGTAATAATTACACGGGAAGCACTAAAGATATTTCTGGGGAGTCAATTTATGGCGCTCACATTTTTGTTTATTTAATTTTCAAAATTATGGTGATATTTAACGTAATTTCCTGCAAAACTTGTGGGTTTTCTGTAATAGGTTGAGGCATCGACTAATCAAAGTGCAGACCAGCAGATGCCCGTGTATAATCTTCCTTCTAAGATCCTTTGCCGCGTGGTTAATGTTTTACTGAAGGTACTTGATTTGCTTGAGATTCACGCATAATCTATCCATCTATAAGTTTTTTTGGGGGGGGGTGGGGGTTGGGGGTGTGACTTTTTGTTGATCCTTTACTGAACTATAATTTATTAATAATTGTTCTCTTTTAATTGTAATATGTTGTATGTTCTGAATTGGTCTATCATGTATATTACCTGAAAAGGCTGAACCAGACACAGATGAGGTTTTTGCGCATGTGATTTTGATGCCGGAACCTAATGTAAGTTTGCAGAATCACCCTCGATATGCTTGATATTGGAATTTTGTAATTTCAGAGGAATTTTTTTTTATTTGATGAGATTTATGTTTTACAGCAAGATGAGAATGCAGTAAAGAAGGAACCTTTGCCTCCTCCACCTCCACGTTTTCATGTTCATTCTTTCTGCAAGACTCTAACTGCCTCAGATACAAGCACTCATGGTGGATTCTCGGTTCTGAGAAGGCATGCTGATGAATGTCTACCTCCACTGGTTAGAACTGTTTACTTATTGGCTCTCGTGTCATTTGGCTGAGATACAGGGTCCATGATGATTCCCTATTTCTTTGACAGGACATGTCACGTCAACCTCCAACCCAGGAATTAGTAGCCAAAGATTTGCATGGAAACGAGTGGAGATTTCGGCATATTTTTCGTGGTATAGTTGCAAACTTGCAATATGGAGAAGACTTGGAACTTTCAACTTCTTTTCTGGTTAATATATATATATATATATACACACACATACATATATATATATACACACACACACACTGGGGGGGGGGGGGTTATATGGAGAAGACTTGGAACTTTCAACTTCTTTTCTGGTCAACGGTCTATCGTGTTCTCCTAAGTGGAGTGCCTTTCACAGTGGAATGGTATTGCTGTGTTGGTTATTGAGTTGATTTTTGTGTTGTGGTTCAATGCACTTCTTTTCTTAGGATTGACTTAGAATTTTTTATTAATCTTCTGAATTTCCAGGTCAACCACGGAGGCACCTCCTACAGAGTGGTTGGAGTGTTTTTGTCAGTTCTAAGAGGCTTGTTGCTGGGGATGCTTTCATATTTCTAAGGTGATTCTACATACAAATCTCTAGTTTTATGCAAGTAATTTCTCATATTACCTGAAATGACGGACGTGAAACTTTCAGAGGTGAGAATGGGGAGCTGCGTGTTGGAGTTAGGCGTGCTATGAGACAACAAGGAAATGCTCCATCATCAGTCATATCAAGCCATAGCATGCATCTTGGTGTACTGGCAACAGCTTTGCATGCCATTCAGACAAAAACAATATTCACAGTATACTACAAGCCTAGGTTCGTAACTTGAATTATGCACCTTTGTTACATTACAAAATATTGGTCAGTTGATGTGGGGGTGTGTGTGTGTGGTGTTTTGTGTTTGGTGGTTTGCTACATTTTTTGTGAAACTTCTCTCCATTTCCCCATGTTTATTAATGAGTTTTTGTAATCAATCTTTTCATGAACTTTACTCTGTAATATTTAGTACTGTTGGGGCAAAAAGAATAATAAAGGATGATTGCTATTAATTTGTAACTTTCTCGTTACTTGCATGAACATTGAATCCTTTTATGTCCATATCCGTCTCTTTATTAAAACTGTTGGAACTCCACCTTCATTAACATGTAAATGTATCGAGTGCTTATTGCTTTTTTTGTGCCTTACATTCTACCTTTCTTTCACAGGACAAGCCCATCCGAGTTCATTGTCCCTTACGATCAATACATGGAGTCTGTGAAAAACAATTATTCAATAGGAATGAGGTTTAAAATGAGATTTGAAGGTGAAGAAGCTCCAGAGCAAAGGTAGGACACGTTAGCATTCTGAAGCACAACCTTTTAATTTATGTGGTAAATCATGAGAATGGGTGTTTTTATATTTTTATTTATCTTAAATCTGTAAAATTTTGTAGGTTTACTGGAACAATTGTTGGTAATGAAGATTCTGATTCGAGAAGGTGGCCACAATCGAAATGGAGATGTCTAAAGGTACTACATCCTATATTTGACGAGGCTGCCACTCAGTATGCATTGAACTATTTATTTATCTGTTTTCATGCTGATAATTACTCTTAATGTTACTTTAAGGTGCGATGGGATGAAACATCCACAATTTCTCGACCAGAGAGGGTTTCCCCTTGGGAAATAGAACCTTCTATTTCACCTTCTGCCCTTAATCCACTTCCTGGGCCTAGACCAAAAAGGACTCGATCAAATGCCTTGCCAGTTTCACCAGACTCTTCTGTCCTTATCAGGGAAGGTATGTTGCTTGTCTGTCTGCTAAGGCTTTGTTACTGTGATTTTAGTTTCTACGTCTGACTTACTCATGTCTGTTCAAAATTTAATATGTAGGTTCGTCTAAGATGACAGTAGACCCTCCATCAGCCAATGGCTTTCCAAGGGTCTTGCAAGGTCAAGAATTGCTGACCTTGAAAGGAGCTTTTGCAGAAAGCAATGAGTCAGATTCTTCTGAAAAACCAATGTTATGGCCACCTTCATTAGATGATGAAAAGATTGAGCTTGTTCCCTCTTCAAGAAGATATGGGTCAGATAAGTGGCCACCTTTAGGAAGGCGAGAGTCGTCATTCACAGATCTTTTAACAGGTTTTGGATCGCAAAATAAATTATCTCATGAGTTCTGTGATAATGAAGTTTCAAAGCGACAAATACAAGAGCGTGAAGGGAAGTTCAGCTTAATTGGGAATGCATGGTCTATGATGCCTTCTGGTCTCTCGCTTAATTTGATGGATGCTGGTAAGAAAACTCATGGACAAGGCCCCAATGCTTCCTATCATACACGAGGGGATATTAGATACAGTGGTGGATTTAGAGATTCAATGCTTCCTGATCATAGAGATGGCAATCAGCATGTAAATCGGTTGATGCCTCCACCTAATTCACCGTGCCTTCAAATGCCGCCTGGTCATTCAAGAGAACTGCAGCCGAATTCTGTATTTGCGCAAGATGACAACAAGAAACCCAAGGAAGGTAACTGCAAGATCTTTGGCGTTCCTCTTAAAAGTGGCTCTGTTCCAACGGAG